CATTTGCAAATACCTCTCCCATTCTATAGGTTGCCTTTTAGTTTTGTTGATTGTTTCCTTCACGGCGGAGAAGTTTTTTTATTTTGATTAGTCCCAAAAGTTTATTTTTGCTTTTGTTTCCCTTGCCTTAGGAGACATATCTAGAAAAATGTTGCTCACAGCCAAGGTAAGAGAAATTACTGCCTGTGCTCTCTTATAGGATTTTTATAGTTTCATATCTCATATTTAGGTCCTTAATCCATTTTGAGTTTATTTTTGTGTATGGTAAAAGAAAGTAGTCCAGTTTCATTCTGTCCAGTTTTCCCAACACCATTTGTTGAAGAGACTGTTTTTTTTCCCATTGGATACTCTTTCTTGCTTTGTTGAAGATTAACTGTGGGCTTATTTCTGGATTTCTATTCTGTTCCATTGAACTATGTGTTTACTTTTATACCAGAACCATATTGTTTTAATTACTGCTGCTTTGTGGGGCACTTGGCTTGCTCAGTCAGAAAAGCATGCGACTGTTGATCTCAAGGTTGTACATTCGAGCCCCATGCTGGGTGTAGAGATTACTTAAAAATACAATCTTAAAAGATATTACTTCAATTTTGTAATATAACTTGAAGTCTGGAATTGTGATTCCTCCAGCTTTGTTTTTCTTTTTTAAGATTGCTATGGCTAGGGGCAGCTGGTTGGCTCAGTCGGTAGAGCTTGTGATTCTTTTTTTTTAAACGTTTTTTCTTTATTTCTGAGAGAGAGAGAGAGAGAGAGAGGGACAGCGTGAGCAGGGGAGGATCAGAGAGAGAGGGAGATACAGAATCTGAAATAGGCTCCAGGCTCTGAGCTGGCAGTCAACACAGAGCCTGATGCGGGGCTCAAGCCCACGAACTGTGAGATCACCACCTGAGCTGAAGTCAGCCGCCCAACCGACTGAGCCACCCAGGTGCCCCTAGAGCATGTGATTCTTAAGCTTGTGAGTTCAAGCTCCACATTAAGTGTGGAGCCTACTTAAAATAAAAATAAAATAAAACATAATTCTATTTAAAAAATGCCTTAAAAAAGATTGCTTTGGCTATTCAGGGCCTTTTGTGGCTTCATACAAATTTCAGGGTTGCTCTAGTTATGTGAAAAATGTTGGTATTTTGATAAGGATTGCATTAAATCTGTAGATTGCTTTGGACAGTATGGACATTTTAACAATATTTCTTCTTCCAACCCAGGAGCATAGGATGTCTCTCCATTTCTTTGCATCATCTTGAATTTCATTCATCAGTGTTTTATAGTTTTCACTTAGATCTTTCACTTCTTTGGTTAAGTTTATTCCTAGATATTTTATTATTTTTGCTGCAATTGTAAATGGGATTAGTTTTTTCATTTCACTTTCTGCTGCTTCATTATTGGTGTATAGAAATGCAATATATTTCTGTAGATTGATTTTGGATCCTGTGACTATACTGAATTCACTTACATTTCTCGTAGTTTTTTTTGGTGGAGACTTTAGTGTTTTCTGGTTTTGTCTTTCTTTGACAATCTTCTCTGTGTGTGCGTGTGTGTGTGTTTGCTGATTCAGAAGGGAACAATTTCTGGTCGTTCTAGCACTTCTACGCCAGGGCAGCTTTAACTCTGCCCTCAAACTGCATAGCACTGCCCATCTTCCCCCTGCACCCCTCTCCAAGGCCCCTCTCTTCTGCTCTCTGGCTTTTACGGGGCCTTGGTTTCCATGCTGGCAGGTAAACTGGATGTCTCTGAGTCACTTTTAGCTCCTCTGCTTCCTCCACACCTTCAGGTTCAAGTCTCCTCTCTGGAATCTCTTCTCCTTTCCATTTTGGATGCAATTTGACCTAGGTCAGGATAAATCATCTCTTGCCTAAGTGAATCTAATTACCTTTTAACTAATCCCCCTATCTCCAGTCTCCACAGAACTCCAAAGTGCTCCTTTAAGAACACTGAGCTGGGAAAAAAAAAAGAAAGAAAGAAAGAAAAAAGAAATAATAAACAAATAAATAAATAAACTACTGAACTGATTACCTCACTTTCCTTCTCAGAACTTTTCTTGGCTCTCTCCATGACCTACCGAGCAAAGTTGAAACTCCTTAGCAGCCATTTGGGCCCTCCCTTTCTTGCCTTAACCTAGAAATCTCCTCCCTTTCCTACCATGGAAACTGTGATCTCTATTTCTTGAACATGTGCATCTTCACACTTCTAGGGTTATGCTCACATTCTTTTGTCATTCTGGGATAAATGGCTCCCTCTCCCCCATTTCTGCCACTGACCAATATTCTATTTTTTTACAGACCTAATTTAAATATCACCTCCTTCATGAAAGCATTCCTGATAGTCTGAGTCAGAGTAGTTTCCTTCCTCTGTACTTTCAGCCCAGATCATTTTTTGAAAGTCAGGTTCTTAAGTGAGACATAATTTATACACAGCAAACTTCACCCCTTTTAAAGTGTATAGTTCTATGAGTTTTGACAAGCATATATAGTTGAGTAACTTATCATTATAGAGTATTTTAGTGAAAGCCCAAAGATTCCTGTGTCTGTTTAGAGACAATTCGCTCCACCCAGTCCTAGATCCTGACAATCACTGGTCTTTTTTTTTTTTTTTTTTTTTTTGTCCCTGTACACCTCCTATCATTTAAATAGCATTTCCCCCTATAGGCTTCATTTGTGTATACATCTTTCTTTCACTGGGTTGTAATCTCCTTGCAGACGGAGAGCTGCAATCATTCACCTTTGCGTTGCTCGTGGCTCCAAGCACAAGTTCCAAACACATTCATTTTGTGCCAGGTCACAAATACTTGATAAATGAAAAAGGGAAGAAAAGGGAAAGAAAGGGAGGAAAGAAAGAAAAAAGAAAGGAGGCAAAGAATGAGCCAAAGAATAAATGGACAAATAGGCCTAGGAGAATTCTGATTCAGCACTGGGGCAGCTGACAGGGGACACTCTAGCTTAATGAATTATTCTGATTTATTAATCCGAGCTACAAAAGCAGTTACTCTTAAACACCTAAACATAAAATACATTGAATTTCGAATCAGCAAGATGGACACTCAACGTTTGGGAAGAAGTCTCAATGTAAGTGACCTAAGTTTTGTTACTGGGTGGGAAACAACCACCCCCCAATCCCAGGCTCTGATCTTGTATATCACACCATCATAACAAAGATACGAGACATTTTGCTCTTAGTGTACAGCACATGCACTTAAAACTTCCAGGGGAGTTAAAGAAAGGAGAAAGGTAATGTTGAGTAACCCATAGTCATAGTGTTATATGTTTTATACTATTTTATTTATTTCTCACAACTACTCTCTCACTGAAGTTAAAAGTAATCAGGACGTAACTCGTTGTTGGGAAAGGAAATAGATAATCAAAGGAAGTTTGGGGCTGTACTTCCAAGGGGAGGGACAGGTTAAAAACTGTTTTTAGTTCAGGATAAATTCTTCCGAGTTTTTCTTCTGTGAAATCACAATAAGCAAGAAAGGACAAGAGTCCAAGGTAATAAACTTTTTTTTTTTTTTTTGAGGTCTATCATTGATCCATTCAGAGTACTTCTGCTGGTGTGGTGACCAGGTTAATTTCTGAAGCCAGTATGATGTGAAGGAATCTAATGCGCTATTTGATGAGGTTGTCAGCTAAGGTACATGGTAGAATTTGGGGGTTAAGGGCTTTAGTTAGTAGGTGGCGTAATAATAAGAACTGCCTTCTTTCTGTATTTGTGGTGTCATGGAAATTTAAAATGATTTTGCAATCACTCTTGGGAGATAATTTTCTCGGTTCTTAGAACAAGTTGGAAGATAAACTTTGGACAATGTATTATACTATGCCCTTTGCAATTAAATAACCCAAGATAATGTGTTAAAGTTTAGCGGAGATTTAAATTCCTGAGCCGATTAAAGAGAGCTAAGACCATTAGGTTTTAAAGATGTTAATATTACTCCCAGAGTTTCTAGGCATTATGTAGTGATGAACTGCATGTTCATTTTTCAATCCTGCAGAACAGCTCAGCATTAAATAACAAGTAAAATTACAGTTCAACCTGAAGCCCTGGACCAGGGCAGGAAGACCTTGAATTTCTGGCTGACTTTGGGCTGCATCGCGTCCACGAAAAGTGGAACCATTGAAAATTGTGGGTTCGTAATGGACTGCTGCTTCAGGAAGATAAATCTGGTTGCGTGCGCAAATGGTCTGGGACAGAAAAGAGATAGAGGCAGTCCACTTGGAGGCTACCGTAATAGCCAGGCTAAGGAGATCAGAGCCGGGGTGTAAAGGAAATGGTAAGAAATGAAAAAAGAAAATAGTAGTGTCTGCAACCAACACTAGACGATGACCAGACCCTGTAAGGTTGGGTGAATGAGGAAGTGAACTGAAAGAACTGCCCGAAGTTGTGAACAGAGGCCCCTCAACTCCTCTTCCGTCGTTAGCGCGGACGTCCTGGGATCAGCTGGAAAGCTCCAGCCTCAGGCTGGTCAGGCCAGCAAAAGGCGCATAGGCGGAAGGACCGGCCAGGCGTGTCCTTCAGCCTGCCCGCCTTCGCTGCCTCCGCTCTGAAGCAGTCCCTCTGCTTCCTACGCCTCTCTCCTCACCCTTGGGAGTCCCCAGACCACCCCCAACCCTCATCCTCCAGCAGTAGGCGGCACCGCCCTCTGTCCCTCCCCTCCCCCTCCCCCTTGGGGCGCTGACTCGCCCGGCTGCCACGTCTCACTGATGACATCACCAGGGCCGCTCGGTCTTAGCCAATCCGCTAGGGGGAGTCCGAGCGAAGTCCTAGCCAGCGAGTCAGCGGGGCGGAGACCAGGGAGGGGCAAAGGGGGGGAGGTGAGAGAGTGGGGAATGGGGCGAGCGACAAGATCTTATGTACGCATGCGCCGGAGGCGCGGCTCTTCGCGGGAAGTTGAGTCCTGGTTGCCACACCGCACCATCAGTGTCCAGCTCCGGCTGTGGTATTCGAACTCTCTTTCCCGGCGTGCCACGCGGTGCGGCCACCCTCTGGGCTATGTAAAGATCCCTCGGTCTAAGGCTTTCCTATTTCCTGGTTCGCCGGCGGCCATTTTGGTGGAAGCGATAGCTGAGTGGCGGCGGCTGCTGATTGTGTTCTTAGGGGACGGAGTGGGGGAAGACGTTTGCTCTCCCGGAACAGCCTATCTCATTCCTTTCCCTCGATTACCCGTGGCGCGGAGAGTCAGGGCGGCGGCTGCAGCAGCAAGGGCGGCGGTGGCGGCGGCGGCAGCTGCAGTGACATGTCCAGCATGAATCCCGAATAGTGAGTGCAGGAGAGCACCGGTCGGCTGGGTCCGTGGGCCTGCTTGGAAAAGCTTAAGAGGGGCGAGGAGGACTGAGGCGGGAGTGAGGGCCTCGGCCAGGGTGAGGTGAGGGTGGTAAGGCAGGAGATGCTGGTGGCCCGGAGTGCGGCCCCATTGTCTGACGGAGGAGGGGCGGCCGCGGGGAGGGGTCGGGCCGGAGGGGTGAGCCGCCCGGGCCTGGGCCGTGTCTGGTTGGAGGCCCTGAGTGCCGGGCCGGTGCGGAGGAACAGTCTGTTGGGGGGGGGTTGGGGCGTTGGGGAGTCGGTGGTGGGGCGGTGAGAACGGGTAGTTTCTCGCAGAGGCAGTGACTTTTGAAGGAAGACTTATTTTTAAGGGGAGAGGATAGGGTGGGAGAGCTCTCCTAGAGGGCACTGTCTGACCCTGCGTCCGCATTCTGCGGAGCTGTCAGAATCGTCAGGGTGGAAACCAGCTTTACTTGTAAATCTTGAGCTTGTTGGCTCTATTCTTTCACCCTCCCGGCCAGGTTGCAGGTAATATGGATGCTTTTCAGGACTGCGTGGGATTGAGGGGTATGAGTAGATGGTGAGAAGAGATTTTTAAATTTTTCGTTTTTTTTTTTTTTTTTTTAAAGTTACTCCCTGTAGTCCTTCAGGAACTCGCGAGGCCTATTGCCTTTTTTTTTTTTTGAGGACACTAAAGTCATTTTGTCTTGTGTAGGTCGAGGGAAAAAACCAGAACTAAGACGTAGGAACATTTTTCTGATGTTATCAAACTAAAGGAAGACTGCTGTCAAGTTGAAAGAGAAACGAATGGGCTCTATGATCTGTAGGTTTTGGATTACCTACTTGAATGCTGGAAGATAGGGAATGAGGTTCCATGACGTGTCATGAAAAGTTAATGCATTTCTTTTTCTTGCTTACTTAAGTCACCACAGCATATGTGACACACCTGGCACCTTTCCTGGGAACTGGTGTTCACTTTTCCTGGGAAGACTTCATTGGGCTCTCCTTAATGGTCCTTAAAAAAAAATTCTCCAGTTTACATATATAAGTTAATGAATGATTGAAGGAGATTTAATTGGTATTCCTCTTAAGCATTAGAAGGCTTTGGGAGATACAGGGAAATTTTTTTTTAAGCAAAAATCAGTACTTTAAAAGTTGACTTTATTTGCTGCTTTGGTTGGTTACTGCTAAACAGTTCCCCTAAAAGGTCCACCCATCAGTTTAGCTGACTGTCATGTGTGTGTCACATGATTCTTGCAAAATGCATTCTGACTTCAGGTTTTGTAATGCGGTGGTTTGATGCTGAAATGTCCCCTTTTGCGCTAAGCAGAAGCCATACTATTTCATTAAAATTTTATATACTTTAAGAAGTTGAGGATCGTGCTCCTGCAGTGCTGTGTGTGCTATGTTGGCAGTTTTTAATTTCTTTATCAAAGACTCCTAGGACAAAGTTGGTTTTGCACTTAGGGAGAGTTGAACTTGAGGTTCCTAATTTGGTGGTTTTCCTGGCAACAGTAAAAGTATATGGATTTGCCACTTTACGGAGACTTGTAAACCTCGTCTCTTTGGGGAGTTTCTTCTATTTGCAGCATTATTTAGTATTCTGAACAGATTTTGAAGATTAGTTCAACAGAACCATGACAAATTTAGTTTCTGAATTGTTTCTCCTTTTATAAAATAGAATAGTAGGAGTCAGCATTCCTTATCAGGGTTGTCATGAGATTCAGGTGTATACAAAAGAAGAGCTCTCCAGGTGGTGTGTGTCATTATCATGTATGACATTCTAGTAGTGCTAGGATTCAAAAGTGTAATCCTTACCCTTAATTAGTTTATAATGGAATATAGAAAATAGTTTGGTAAAGACCGGTAGAGTTCATTTCAGGTATGCAGCATGGATATGAGCAACAAGAGTTCAAAGGAGGGTGGAGGGTGGTGGTTGGCCAGTTGGTTCAGGAAAAGTTTATAGAAAAGAGGCTTGTGAGGGAATTATTAGCAGTAGATTGAGAGAAACAGTAGGGAGTGTGGAGGATTTTTCAAGGGGAAAGAAGGAAAAATGGTTACTAAATGGCAGTGATAGTATTTCTTAAGTAAATGCCAAACCATCCGTTAGAATAATGACCTCAACAGAATCAATCAAACCCAGAAATTTTCTGCTATCGAGTATGCCAGCACCTGGCCATTTATACGTATATTCTAGACTGTGTCTAATAAAATAGCAGTTGGGAAAACCTTTGGAAGAGCATTAGTGAAAATTACTTGGGGAGGAGGTGATGGGTAGTTTATTAGGGAAGATCACAAGGGCAGCCAGCAAGCAGATTTTTAACAGTGTGACTTCAGCAGTTTTTTCTTGTTGTTCTTAATGAAGTTACCATCTTAAAAGTAGTGAAAAATTGGGGCGCCTGGGTGGCTCAGTCGGTTGAGCGTCTGACTTCAGCTCAGGTCATGATCTTAGTTTGTGGGTTTGGGCCCTATGTCGGGCTCTGTGCTGGCAGCTAGCTTAGAGACTGGAACCTGTCTTTGGATTCTATGTCTCTCTCTCTGACCCTCCCCTGCTTACGCTGTCTCTCTCTCTCAGAAATAAATTAAAAAAAAAAAAAAAAGTAGTGAAAAGTTGGAAAAGAGAACAAAAGAAATTCTTACAAGTCCATTTACTTTAATACCTGTTCTAAACTTTTAAATCTTATATTTTTTCTTAAATTAAAACTTTTAATAGGTGAGTGCCTTTCATAATTCTATGTCTTAACAGCTAACATAGCCATATGTGTTAGGTATAATAATAAACATTATAATACATGTGTATTATGGCATACACATATGCTGATGTGAAGGGGTAGTATACTAGATAATGTTTAAAAGTGCTCTCTAAATACTCCTTGTTTTTGGTTTATAATCTACTAATTTATCTTACTCCTTTTAGAAACTTTTAAAATCTGCCTCATGGGTGCCACTGAATTTGGTAAACTGAAAATGGATTCTTGATAAAAAAAAGGTTGGTTCTGTCAGAAGGAACAGGATTTTAGATTATTGGTCGACATAAGATTACCTGTTGGTAGCTTTTTAAATGCTTTTACTTTATGATCTTTAAGTTGTAAGCTTGGTTTGGGAGGAGGAGAATAAGAAATACAGCAGCCAAAGATTAAATTTTAAGCTGTCCCTTTGACTACTTTCTATGTTATTTGGCTAATATGGGAGAAATGGCAACCCTGAGTTATCTTTATGGCAGAAATTAAGGGTAATGACTGATTTGTGAATTTCAAGTACAGACAAAAAGAAAGCGAGGAAGTGGAATCTGAATTGTGGAAACAGTAGGTGGAAAAGATCTTTTTCAGGAGATCTGAAGTAAGATTTTCTGAATTAGGTGGTGAAGCAGGCCGTGATTATTTCAGCACACTGGTTAAGAAATACTTGGCATTATTGTCATACCAGAAACCTTTTTTCTAATCCATTAGCTTTGGTGGATTTTTTAGTGTCAAGAAAATCATTTTGGCTACTTCATCTATAAGGAGTGTGTTAATAAAGTGTGTTTACTTATGGATATACCAGTTAACTACAGTAGGAAGGACTATAGATGTCTACTTGGATCACCTATAGTTCTTTAATGCAGAAAGATTTTATAGTAAATGCCTTGTTTTTGTTTTGTTCTATTCTAATACGGCTTAGGAGTGATGTTTGAGATCATGGCTCAGGATTTAATCAGTTTTTCAAACTTTGCTCTTCTAATAGACTAATAGACTTAAGGAACATTTGCCTTCTTTCTTTCTTTTATTTATTTTTGCCAGCACTGTCTTTTAACATAAGCGTTTGAAAGTAAAAGAAAATCAGTTTTGTTATCTGACAGTAATAAGTATGTCATAATTGGCTTTCATATACTTTTTTTTATTAGAAAAGAAACATAAATCAACTCAAAGTAAGTTGACTTCTTGTTGGTTGTCTTGAGTTTTGGGTGGTGTTGATAGTGGCTTGAAAAATTCAGAAAAGTTCGAAGAAAAATAATCCGTATTCTCACCATCCAAAATGTTTTCTTAATTTCTGTAGAGAATCAGCATATGTGATTTTTTGGGGGAGTATAAGTTTCTGGGAGCTATATAGAAATCTAATCCCTACAGAATGAATCTTAAGAGTTATCTGAATATGTGATCTTGTCATGTCATTTGAAAAGTACTGAAATTTGGCATTAAAAATTTTTTTCATAATTAAGTTAAAATGAGAATTGTTGACAGCTTCTTAGATATTCCAAATAAGAATTTTAAAGTTTAAAATATTAAAAGATGCAAGAGCTTCAGAATCAAGTGTTCTCTTGAAAACTCTTCAGTTGACTTTTAAAGAGAATTTTGCTTTCTGAGTAATTTTATTTCTTGGATATTTCAGTCTTTTTTATTCTGGAAGTAATCTTAGTAATTTATCTGTGTGCTACCATTTTGTTATATTCACATCCTACTAGCAATCCTTTGTGTATGTGTGTTTTCTTTCCTTGGCAACTTTTGACTATACGTTTATGATAGTTTTACTATTTGCCATTGTAGTAAAGTTTCATTTTTGATATTTAAGAATGGCTTTTTTTTTTTTTTTGCTAATGTTATGTATTCTTGTCTCTTTCTAATATATGAAAATGTTTAAGGTCAAGTAAAATGCTTTTTAAGGTTTCTGAGATTTAAGGTTTGGTAAGAAATACTTTGAGTGTTTTAAGATGAAAATAAACTAAAAATGGGTATAGGATGCCAATGCATTGGGTATTTTGGATGTGTAGCTTATCTTTTTACCACTGTCTGAGCTCAACTCTGGAGGTTTAGTAAGAGTTGGGCAAAATGCCTGCCCCCCCCCTTTTTTTTAATCTTTCAAGGAGAGAGGAGTGGTCAGACTATTCCACTGTTTTCCTGTAGAAGGTGAAGCTGAGATTGCTTTTTTGATGTCTAGAATAGTATTTAAGGAAGAACACCTAGGTCTTGGCTTTTCCTTGGAACTGCTCTGTGAGTGTTTCTGATAATAAAAGGGTAATG